CCTCTCAGCCCAAAACCTCTGGCCTGTACCCCAGTTCTTGCATGCACAAATAAATAAGAATTTTAAAAAAATAAAAAAGTAAGCTCTTTGCCTTTTGACAGGAGACAGTGGCTCTGCAAGTGGATATTGGAATCAATCAACCCTGTGTGTATATACAATTATTCCCCACATATATCCTTGTTTATTCCTTTCTGTAATTTCAGAAAATGAAAAGAGAGCCATTAATGTATCTTCAAATTTCTGAAGATTACAAAGTATAGGGTCCCTCCTGGTGATGCAGGGGTTAAGTCTCAGTACTATAAATCTATCCATGGCCACTGCAGGACAAGTTCGACCCTGTCCAGGGAGCTGAACCACATGGCTCATGGGGGTGGGACAGCTGCCCTCAGCAGTGTATTTCAGTTGATCTGCCTGTTCTGCTCCCCACTCTATCTCTGGTAAATTTTTCTCACTCCCTCTAACGCTGGCCTACATCCCAGTTCTTGTAGCATAAATGAATAAAATAAATATTTTAAAAAGATTATAAATTACAGTTTAGCACAAAGGATAAATAAAATATAACTTTTATAACAAAATTAACTCCAAAATCCAGCTAGCTCTTTCTTTTGTTAAATCATATTTTAGAGTGTGTTTAGAGAAAAAGAAATCACCAGAAAGGATCTATAATCATCAAACACTTGAACATAACCTGATTCCAGTAAAGTAGTAACAGGCCATCTGTCACTTTCAGTGTTTCTGTGGCATCCCTATTTGTGGGTGTCTGTGTCACATGTGGTAATATCCTCTATTCCTATGGGGTGATCACAAGATTTCCATGGAACAGGGGCAGTTGGTTGATGTCAATGAAGAAGGGGACACATATTCTAGGTTTGCTCTGGGTGCTGTATCTGTTGCGTGCAACTGGGTAAATAGCACATTAAACAGGATGTCACTGATGTCTAGAGTCACTTGGATAGTTGAGGAAACGAGAGTAATTAGAAGTGGTGAGCTGCCCTTCCTGGGTTAAGGGAAGCCTCACTGTTGAAACACCAGTGTGCAAGGGTCCAGGATAGTATAAACGTGAAATTTCTGAATGAGTAAATTAACTTCATTAACCGGGTGAAGAAACACAAGGCCACACTATCGTAATCTTCTTCTCTGACTAAGCACAAATGTGTGGCTGTCATTACAAGTGTTCCCCCTGCCTTTCAGAACAGTTCTTCACCTAAGTTTGCCACTAAGTGACACACATGATTAACACCTGATTTCAATTTTGTCTGGTATCTAAAATTTAAATCAGTCATATGTTCATTTTATATCTTGACTCTTTCACTCAACGACATGTAGGCAAGGTGACCCACATATTGGATTTAGCTAGAGTCTCTGTATTTTCGCTGTTGCATAGTATTCCACCAAATGCAAAGTAACTACATCCTTCTGTTCTACATGCACAGTATATTATTTCATAAAATTTTATATCCACGCTGGAATAACACTATATTTGCAATTTTATATTGTTTCTCTTTCATTTAATGTTATAAGTATTTTCCAACTCATTGATAACTATTCAGAATGATTGTACCTAATTGCTACATTTACTGTCACATATTTGACTGTTTCCTGGAGTTCTGTTGGAGATTGTTTCCTGTATTAGTACAAGAACGTGCTGGTTAGCATTTTTATGGATATACATTTTTATTTGTGTTCACAGCATTTCCTTAGGTCATTTCTCAAACACTGCATTACTATTTGTTTTAATGCACATGCATATATATAATATTCCAAATTCTAATAGCTGAAGTCTAAGTTCCCCACAGAAGGACGATACACAATTTTGCTGAATGAGCGACAACCCCTATTTCAGCAGGTTCTTGCATCCACATCATTCTGTCTCCCCATCTTGAAGGCTCAGATGTCACACACTCCGCTTCGCTTCCTACCCTCCCTCTGCGCGGGCCTCACCCCTCCACCACTCGCCATGATTGCGTCTCTCCTTGGCCAGGCTGACCCGCCCCTCGGCCATGGCTCCATCCCCCTGCACCTCTGGCCAGGCCTGGGGCCTCTGCCCACCATTCTCCAGCCTGGGCGGCACTGCCCCTCCCAGTCACCAGGCGGCGCGCGCCGCGTCTCCTTCCCTGGTTCCCCCGCGAGCCTGTCCGTCCTCGGCCTCGCCCCGCCCCCTGCGTGTTGACGTCACGTCCCTGCGCGCTGCTGCGGGAGCAGAAGTGGCGGAGACTCAGGGCCAGGAGCGCCCGCCACAGCAGAGCGGCCCGCGGGCCAAGGAGGGAGCAGCCCTGGGGGCAGCGCGCAGGCGGGGAGCGCGCCGGCTGGGGGCGGGGCGGGGAGAGGCAGGGAATAATGGGGGCGGGACGCCCCGTCTCTCCCTGTGGGGGCAGCGGGTTCGGGCCTGTGGGGTCGCGGGTGAACGATCCTCGCGTGTTTTCAGTCACGGGGCGCGACTTGCTGTGGAGTCGCGTGGAAATTCTACGTTAACGGCGTCGTGGAGACGCGGGGTGTTCGCCTCCGTGTAGTTGGGTTTTCTGAGCTTCAGCGCAGCAGGACGGGCGGGGCGCCCCGTGAGCCCCCGGGTTCTCCCGCTGGCCCGGCCCTGGGCCGCCCCGACACCCGCCCCTGCCGCCCTGGCCCTGTGCCCGCTCCCGCCTCCCCCGCTGCTGGGGTCTCCTCGGCACTCGCTGCTCCAGACTCGGGGTGAAGCTCTTGCCTGCGGGAGCCCCGTTTCTTCAGGAACCACCCGGAGCAAGAGGGAGGTGAGGACAAGTCGCTGCCGGTGGCTGGTGCAGAGCGGGCCAGTCACGGAACCCGGGGTGGGGCGGGCTGGGGGTGCAGAGCTCTGCGCCGGTCATTTTGGGTCCTGGAGGAACGTGGGGGTCAGGTCGTTCCTGAGTGTGACCCCGTGGTGGCCAGCGCCCCTGACCGAAAGCGCGTCCCCCGTGTTTGCTCCCAGCGCTTCCCTGCTGCACTGGTCACCCCTGGGGTGGGTTTGCCGGGCACACCGCTGTGTGCCACTTATTTGTGTGCTTAATTTCTGTGAATTTAGAATATAATTTGGGGAATTATAAGTTTACATGTTGTAATTTTCTCTGGGGCTGACACCCCCTCCCCACCCAGCTCCAGCAGGCAGGAGGGCAGTCGTGTCCCAGTCTTCCCAGGGCACAAGTTCTTACCCAGGCGGTTGCTGGCACCTGGGGCTCTGCATTTCTCACAAGGGGTCTGAGATGCTGCCCCTGCTGGTCTTGGGCCCACATGTGAGGGCTGCAGTGCTGCTTCCTTGTTGTGCAGATGATGTGGTCATTCAGAGCCTGGAAGAGGGACCTTGGACCCCTGGACACTGCCTCAGGAGGTGACTTTACACTCTCCCTTGAAGAGAATCCAGGCTTTCCTGAGTCTTGAGTGACCAGAAGCCACACAGCCTGCCACAAGCTGGCTACAAGTGTTTGGTTTTCTAAAATGGGTTATTATTAACCGATCCATGCAGTGAAAGCAGTGGCCCTCTCTGTGTCACTAAAGGACACACCCCAAGAAACCATTCAGCAGGGTCAGCTGGGCACTGTCACAAACAGGGACAGAAATTTTCTCAATGGGGAGTTTTATTGTCTTTTTATTGTATTTAGTTGTTTTGATTTACAAAGTAATTATGGTCTCAAAAATGAATTGGGTTACACATGAGAGGCCATACGGAGGCAGAGTGAAGACACTGGGCTCACCGCCACCATATACTCACAACACTGTACAGGCCAAATTGATGCCACAGAAAGATAAATGGGTGACACACACCAGGAGAACTGACCAGTGGCAAGAAACTGGGAAAACTTTAACTAACCTGCATCTACAGTTATACTGGAGGAGAATTAAACCCCTACAGTTGTGGACTCGGGGACACAAGCCACATTGGGGCCTTTGGAGACTCAGGACTTCCCTCAGCACTGGGCCCAACCCACTGGGCCATCTGGGAGGCCAAATATATGAAGACATTGTACCAATTCTCTACAGCTAGGAGTGTTTTTCTGATGGTAGAAGGTACATAAATACTTCATAGCTATAGAAGCACACACAAGCCACACTCATGTAGACTCACATGCACACACTTGCACACAGTTCAAGACATGCACATACACCTAAAGAAAACAGTGCAAATCCCTAATTCTGTACACACAGCTAGCTCTGCTTCACACTCCTGTCACACTGTCTTATCACCACGTGACCCCTCTGACTTTTCTAAAATTTTCAAAATGCTTTCCAAAATTTTCTAAATTTTCTAAACCTTTCACTGCTTATTACAAGAATGTTAAAGGAAATTTAGGTCTCTGGCGTCCGATGTGTTGGAAGTTTGGGTGCAGTCATAAATGGGAAGCAAACACGGTTGGTTTCATACACCATTTTAATGAGTCCTGGGGTAGACATTTTAACTAAATAATCCATTTCAGACTGTCTCCTCCAGGCGGAGAAAGAGCATCCAGATGCTTCCACGCCCCAGGGCCCTGTAGGTAGAGTGGGTCACATGGAGATGCCCCTGCAGTGGGAACCAGTGTGTCCAAGGTGGCCACCTCCTCGAGCCCTATTGGACCTGCGTGGGAAGAGCAGAGCCAGTGAAGCCCAGGCACAGAGGAGGCTCTTTCCTTAGTGACACCCCCCCGAGGAGTGCTGCTCGGACTCAGATGCGACAAAGTGCAGATGGAAACCAGGAAGACCTACCGAGGCATCACTCGCTGGCAGGTGAGCAATTCTCCAACTTGGAATCTCTGTTGTGAAAAGGGGCTCAGTAGAGGGGGACTTCCTACTGTGGATGTCAGTCCCTGACAGTGCCAGTAAGCCCGAAGAGCTCCTGCATCATCTGTGCCGTCCGGGTGCCCAGGGGCCACCAGCAGGGCCCTCACGGGATAGAGCCTAAGATGGGGAAGCAAGGCCCTGGGGTCCCAGCCTCTGGCCCTGGGGCCTCTGGAGGCTCAGCCCGCACAGCTCCACTCCCATCCTGGGCCCTGCACCTGCTCAGCTGCCCCAAACCCTCCTCTGCCCCCTTCCCCTGTTCTGCTCTCCTCCAGGTGCTTCACAAGTCCCATTGCCCTACCGGCCCTTCACCTGCTCTGCTCCTGGGACTGCTGTGCTTGCGGACATCTGTGCTCCACGTCTATATTCTCATGCTGCTCCTGGCCCCTCTGGCTGGGCCCAACCCCTGACCCCTCTCCAGGGCTTTGGCCTCCGCTGCTGTGCTCATTTCACTATGGCCACTGAGTGGCTGCCCTGGAGCGGGGAAGTGAATTCTAGGGAGGTGCTGGTGATCATCTAATCCCCAGTAGGGTGAACACTGCTCTTTTGTTTTCCTCTGAAGGGTGCACAGAAATAGCAACATTTTAAAATCCTATTAAGGATTCTTCTAGCTCTGGCCTTGTAGCCTCCAAGGGTGGACTGGGAATGGTTTTCATGGCCCAGTGTCTCTGCAGGGCCACCGGTGAGCTGAACAAGAGGCGCCTTCTTGGGGTTATTTGGGTGGTGCTGGAGAGCTGGGAGGCTGGGCTGGATGTCTTCCTAATGCTTTCCTGCCCCCCCTCCAGGTGGGGGCCTGGAAAAGTAGTGTTGGGGCCCAGAGCTTGCTCCTGCAGGGGGCCTGGAAGCGATGTGGTGTTGGGCCCCCATGCCTCCCACAGCACGGGCCCTGACTGGAGGCCATGCTGGGCTTCCAGGCATCTGGCATCAGGGTCCCTGAGCTGGAAACCGAGCTCTGAATGCTGGCGTCCTCCTGCGGGATGCCTTGCCCGGAGGTGGTGGTGGGCTTCTGGGCGTCCTGCTTCGGGGACAGTCCCACCCGCAATTTCTCAGGCCCCGAGACCTCAGGCTGCCAGTGGTCCTCCGGTATCGGGGCACAGTGGGCCCCATCAGGACTGAGGAGCTTTGGGGAGATGGTGGGGTCTGGCCCCTCCTCGTCCACCCGCTGCCTGGAAAGCAGCTTGAGGAAGGTCCCCATCACAGGGTCATACCTGCCCTCCAAAAGCGCCCTGTCGATGACCTCTTTCCAGAACCCCAGGCGGACCATTGCTTCCATTGTGTCCTTGTGCTGGCCCTGGGAGGGCTCCCGGCAGGGGAGTCCATTTGTCAGCCGCACCCAGGGGTGCTGGATGACACTGTCCAGGTTGCTGCCACTGAGGGGGTCAAGCTCATCATCTTCCTCAGCAGGTCCCGGCACACTGAGAGAGGTAGTGCGGCTCATGATAGATGCCGCTCAGCTCCCTGGCCCACAGCTCCCCAAGGCTGGTGCCCTTGAAGGGCAGCTTCCCGGTGACCATGTACTAGAGGACCACCCCCAGGCTCCAGATGTCCGCCTCGCGGCCACTGTACTCCTTGTGACGGAGAATCTCAGGGGCCACGAACTGCGGCTGCCACAGGGGGTCTTGAGCAGGGCTGCCTCAGAGAACTAGGCACTGAGCCCGAAGTCTGCCAGTTTTATAGTTCGGTGCTGGTCCAGGAGCAGGTTCTCCGGCTTCAGGTCCCGGTGCACAACACCCCTGGCGTGGCAGTGGCTGAGCGCTGCCAAGATCTGCTGGAAGAGGCGGTGCACCTCCATATCCCCCAGGCTCCCGCACTTCAACAGGCAGTCCTGCAGGTTGCCCTCCTGCACGCGCTCCAGGACCAGCAGTACCTCATCCTCAGTGTACAATACCTGGAAGAGCTGGAGAACGTTCGGTGCCGAAGGACTTTCATGCAGGCCACCTCGCGGGCCAGGAACCTCTGAGGCATGCCAGACATGGGGATGACCTTTATGGCCACCTCCATGCCCATTGACAGGTGCTGCACCAGCCTGACCTTGGCATGGGCACCCTACCCCAGCTTGCGGAGCATCACTTACTTTCTCAGGGCCATTCCCTTGGCAGACGGGCGCATCTGGGCAGTGAAGGCGGACCCGCTCCTAAGCTGGCAGGCCCTGGCTGGCTAGAGCCCTCGGCACTAGCTCCGCTACCTGATTAACAAGTGCACTATTAGCCTAGAGCTAGTAGTACGTGAAAAAGATCCCAAAACTAACTAAATGCTACCCGTGCTGACTACTCTACCGAAACAATAATGACACTAACTTACCTCTACCAGAAACACTAACTATGCTAACCTAACTAGGATACTAATACTAACTAACTATGCACTCAAAAATGAAAACACAACCAAAAAATTAACAAAGATAAATATTTAAAAATATAATAAAAGAAACAATAACAAAGTAACCACTAAAGTTAACAAGAACACAGACAAAATGAACAAACCACAAGTGAACAATTACAAACTAACAACTAAAATAAAAAAAAGGGAAAAAACACACAAATAACAACAGGAGGGAAGATGGGGAAAATAAAAAAAAAAAAACAAAATAATAAAATAATAAAAAGATAAAATAAGAAATAAAACAAAGGGAAAAAAACAAATTAAAAATAAAATAACTAAAATAAATAGCTATAATAAATAACTGAATAAGAAATAAACAAAGCAAAAGCAAGCCAATCCACCAACATGACTCTCTCTCCCTCCGATTCCACCGTCACGATCCCAACACTCCTCGCTAAACCTACACCTCTGCGGGCCTCGCGGGGGCTTAAGTAGGCTCCGCGGGTGACATCACAGAGCTCTTTGTGGCGTCGGAGCAGAGGCCACGCCCCCGGCAGAGGGCACCCCGGGGGCCATTCAGCCTTCAAGGGACAGCACCCGCCAAGATGTGTGTGGACAGACGCCCTGGAGACTGGAATCCACCCCGTTCCAGAAGCCCGCGGGGCGCTGGCGAGGCCGTGTCCTCTGTCGCGAGCACCTGTCCCAGGTTTTGGCTTTTAGGGTCTCTCCGCACAGTCCCCCCAAATCCTGATGCGTCTCACATGCACGACACATCCACGGGCACAATAAACGACACCATGATGGGAGCATGAGACGCGACAGAGTCCGCTCTTCTCACCCCGACACTGAAAACTCTCTGGGACATGGTCCCCCCGTTTGGCCCATGAGCTGCATGTGCCCCTCAGCGTCCTCGAAGGCCAGAGGCCGGGGCGGCTCCCAGGGAGGCAGAGACTGTAACGCGGGCCCCGGAGGTGGTGTCGGCCCCAGCCCCCCGCAGTGCTGTGGGGACACCCCCTGACCTGACTCAGCCGGGGCTGGGGGCAGCTGGGACTGGTCAGCTCCCCCCAAGATTTCTGGCTTGGAAATATCTGCGTCTGGGGCTCCCGTTGGCGCAGCGGTTTGAGCGCAGCACTGTGGAGCTGTCCACACCTCTGCAGTGCCGGTTCGATTCCCTGCCCGCCAGGCAGGCGAGCAGACCTCTCCTGTCCTGCCCGCTGCGACCCTCAGCAGTGTATTTCATCAGTCTGCCTGTTCTGCTCCCTGCTCTGTCTCTGGGGAATCTTCTCACCCTCTCGCACCTCTGGCTTGTACCCTGGTTCTTGTATGAATATATCCTTAAAAAAAAAAGACTAAAAAAAATCTGCTTCTTGCTAGAACTCGGGGTCGGGGAGCAGAGGTTGGCTAAGGCCAGGTCTAGACGCTGTGGCCCTGTGCCCTGAGGGGAACAGCGTGGCTTCTGGAAGTGGTGGGTTCGCGTGAGCAGTGGGGTCCGCTGCTGCTCAGGCTGCAGGTTCCCCCGCCTGGCCAACCCTGATCACTCACGCACAGCATCCGCTGAGGACCAGGTCTCCCCTGAGCAGCCTGGGGCGCGGCGAGGGCCCCGAGGCTCAGAGCCTGTGCTCGGGGTGGGGGGTTCAGGCAAAGGGGCCCCAGCGCCGCGTGTCCCAAGCCCGGAGGGCGGAGGGTGTCATCCTCTCGGGGGACAGGACGCCCAGGGCAGGTTCCCTTATTCCCGCCCCCTGGGGACCTGACCCAGCAGCGGCCAGGAGAGGCCATGCTGCTCCTCCTGCGACCACCGCTGCTCCCGGCTGCCGCACAGAGAGGTCGCGGCCTCTCCCGTGTTGGGGGTGCACTCGCGGGCCCGTTCCAGTCTTTCTACACAACCTCCACGGCCGCCTCGGGGGAGTCCGCCCTCTGCAGCCGCCTGTGTCCAAACCCGCCTCAGCCTCAGGGGCTGCAAACCCCACGGAGTCTACGCATTCACTCTGGCCTCTGAGAACCCACGATGCCCCACCAGCCTGGGATGCTGCGCGTCACGGGCCAGGGCTGCGGTGCCCGCTCTGGTTCCTCCCCTTCCTTCAACCTCCCCACACACCCAGGGAAGAGCTTGAGCATCAATCAGACCATCCGCTCGCTGGCCTCACGCCTTCCCGTGGCCCTACTGGGCTTGGCACTTCCCCAAAACCCCTTTGCACAGGCTTCCCTGCCCCTCTGGCCTCAGCCCTGCCCCCACCCGCCTCCCCTCCCTGTCCAGCCCTGCTGGGTGAGCTGCCCTTCTTTCTCGTTTTTAATTTTATGTATATTTACATCATTTTTCATTTTTGCCAATGTATGCATTTTCACCTTGGTTATGGTCCCCGTACAATTCCCACCCCCTTGTTTGATCCTACTCCCTCCTTCCCGACACGGTAGTGTGTCTCTGGCTTGTAGATGCTGTTGATTGTGATTTTTACTTTATTATAATTAGTATTTTCCTGGTCCCTTATTTAGGTTTTCTAAATCCCTGCTATGAGTAGGACCGTCTGGTATTTTTCTTTTTCTTTCTGGCTTATTTTGCCCAAGCATGACCCCTTCCAGCTTCATCCATATTGCTGCAAATGGCATGAGTTTATCATTTTTGATTGCGGAGTCATATTCCATTGTGTATATGCACCACATCTTCTTGATCCTGTCATCTATTTTGGGATATTTGGGTGTTCTTCTTTCTGCCACATCCTGTTGCCACCTGGGGCATTTGCAATTGTTCTTGCAGAATCCCCAGATGCGCCTACCACTCTCTGACCTTGCTTTCCTCCAACCCACATGTCATTTCTGACCGCCTTGCAGGCAGGTGCTGCACATTTCTTCCTGAACCACATCCTCTCCTCCCTTCACAGTGTCATCTGCACCTAAATCATACTAACATGTTTTCAGAATTTCATGCTAGAATGGAATTCCCTCCTGTGTCTTGAGCTCCTGACACAGTTTTGCTTATGGCAAGAATGCTTTTGACTGACCCAAACCAGTCCTAAAACAAGAACATTCTAAAGAACAGTACATGTTGACTGTCCCCTTGCCTTTTTACATGGGAACATTTTCTCACTCTCCATCAGGAAATTGATTCAAACACTTTGACTAGGGAAACTTTGTTTCAAGTAATATTTCAAAGTACTTCAAATGACAAATGTCACGTGCGATGTCATAAAGGTTTACATCATTAGCCACATGGAATTTGTTTGCTGTATTTTAACCTGTTGGCTTAATTTTAGAAGTGCCTCACAGTCCAAATCAGTGTCAATACCTATGTCTAAACATACAAGGAATGCACATGGGGAAAGAAGAAGCAAAACTATCACTATTTGCAGACAATACGATAATATACACTGAGAACCCTAAAAACGCCACAGAAAAAACTACTCAAAATAATCAACCAGTTCAGTAAAGTAGTAGGATTCAAAATCAACACGCAAAAATAAGTAGCCTTCCTATGCACAATCAGTCTGCAGAAGAAGAAATCAAGAAAACCATCCCTTTTATAACTGAAACCAAAAAAAATCAAATACTTGGGAATTAACCTATTGAAAGAGGTGAATGGAGTGCAGCACTGTGAAGCTGTCCGCAGCCTTTGCAGTGCCTGTATGATCCCTGCCAGCCTCAGAGCTTCCCCCATGGCGTGGCAGACCTCTCCTGTCTCGCCCGCTGCTTCCCTCAGTGGTATATTTCTTCAGTCTGCTTGTTCTTCTCCCCACTCTGTCTCTGGTGAATCCTCTCACCCTCCCTTGCCTCAGGCCTGTACCCCAGTTCTTGTAAGCATAAATAAATCTTTAAAAAAGAAAAAAAAAACATTATTGAATTTGCTAGCATAGTCAGTCATAGTGCTCTCATGACCTTTGTATTTCTCGACTTCAGAACCTCCATAGACTTGAAGACCCCCGGAGACCTCCGCAGAGACCCCGCTGCTCACCTGCCTCAGGCCCTGCCTCTGGCAACTCCTGCGAAGAGAACCTGGGCCTCAGCCCAGTCTCTGCTGGCTGTTTGCAGTTGGCGGGCGCCAACACCCCAAGAGCTGGAACACTGGTGTTGTTGGCAACACCCGCGGAGCCGGGTGCTCACCTGCCTGCTCCCTGGGGGCTGGCGCCTGTGTCTGGCCTCCTTGAGAACTCTCGATGGCGCAGCATGTCTGGCCCGGCATCTGGTGCGGTCCAGCCTGGTCTGCGGACTGTTGCTGTGGGCTCTGCCCATGTGGGCTACCTCCCCGGGACGTGGGGATTTGGTCTTGATCCATGGGTTCGCCCGTGCTGACCCCCCAACTGTCCTCTGCCCATGACCATGGACCCCTGGGTGCTGCCAGCCACAGCCCACAGGCCCAAGTAACAGGGCGTCCCCTGTGTCCCTGAGGTGCAGGACACCAGGGAATGAAGGGGAACGGGCCAGTGGACCCGCATCCCTGGAGGGTCGTGTGCCGGCCGGAATAGAGGGGCGGGGGAATCTGCTTCATTGACAGGCCCATGGGGGCAAGGCCCTCCCCTCATTGTCTGCAGAAACTCCAGAATCACCATCAGTTTCTGGGGCTGCAGCTTCCGGGACTGCTTGTCAGGGTGGGTCCCTCTTGCTGGCTCAGGCCTCTGCCTTCCCTCCTGTGCCTGCAGGGGAGGGTCCCGGCGTGCCCACCCACGAGCTCGTTTGTTGTGTGTGACCCTGAT